CAGCAATGTGCCCTGGCGGCCAAGAAGGCGAATGGCATCCTGGGGTGCATCAAGAAGAGTGTGGCCAGCAGGTCGAGGGAGGTCATCCTCCCCCTCTACTCTGCCCTGGTGAGACCGCATCTGGAGTACTGTGTCCAGTTCTGGGCTCCCCAGTTCAAGAAAGACAGGGAACTGCTGGAGAGGGTCCAGCAAAGGGCAACAAAGATGATTAGGGGACTGGAGCACCTTTCTTATGAGGAAAGGCTGAGGGACTTGGGTCTCTTTAGTCTAGAGAAAAGAAGATTGAGGGGGGATCTTATTAATACATACAAATACTTAATGGGAGGATGCCAGGGGGATGGGAGTAGTCTTTTTTCAGTGGCACCCAGTGATAGGACGAGGGGTAATGGGCATAAACTTGAACATAGGAAGTTCCATCTTAACATGAGAAGGAACTTCTTTACTTTGAGGGTAGTGGAGCACTGGAACAGGCTGCCCAGAGAGGTGGTGGGGTCTCCCACTCTGGAGACATTCAAAACCCGCCTGGACGCTGTCCTGTGTAACGTGCTGTAGGTGACCCTGCTCTGGCAGGAGGGTTGGACTAGATGATCTCCAGAGGTCCCTTCCAACCCTAACAATTCTGTGAATTCTGTGAATTCTGTGAATTCTTTAAAGTTATACAGGGGGTCCAGGGAGGAAAAGAAGTAAGAAGGAAAGGAAAAAGCCTGCAAGCCTATTTTCCATCCTTTCTTTAGAGCACCTTTATACAGCATCTGACTGCAATAACACAGCTAGAAATGGCCCCTTCTTTTGTTTGATGGCTTTTGTAAATATGAGGTTCAAATGGTGGCTCCAAAAAGTCTTGGCTGCTGAGTTATTATTGTGAAAAACATTCAGATATTGTGCCCTCCCACTGGCTGTCCTTAGGTAAAGCTCCAGCTGATCCCAAAGGAAATATTCTTTCATGCAATTTAAATATGAATTCTGTTACTTTTTCAAAGCATCTACCATTTTCATCAAAGCAGAGCTTCCTGATGAGATCCTGCCACACTCTGCAAGCAGCCCAAAAAACGGATGCAAGGGAAGAGCTCAGCTCTGCCAAGAGCCGCGATGAGCTGGCCAGGGCCTCTCCTCACCATACGCAAGGAGCGATGCCCCCCAAACAGCTACAGAACAAAACAGCCTGAAAAATACCCACCTATCAGGAAACCACTGGGGAAATGTTAAAAAGCACTTCCCCTGTAATAAGAAATAGGTCAATGCAACTTATGCAGGAGGAAGGGGCTCTGCACTGGTGGCAACGGCATAATTTCTAGGCTGGTAATCAGCACAAATGGCTGACTGCAGGTGGAAGACTTTGCTAATTGGGATGCACATAGTGGTTTGAAACCCTTGTGGGGGAGGAGGGAGGGTTTGCTATGAAGACTTACCTGGAGAGTGCTCAGACTGGTTTATGATCGCTCAAAGTGAGGTGAGGGAAGAATGACCGACTCTTCATTTATTTAAAACAGGAATATGACACAGGAGGGGTTAGCTGCACAAAGTGAAGGTTGGGCCAAATTCCCACTCAGTACCTGAGTGTGACAATAGTATATGCAACTTCAAGCTCAAAGCAACAGTAAAAAGTATTTCCGAATTTAAAAAAAAAAAAAAAATAATTACAGAAATTACACACAGGAAGAACCAAAAGCTGAAGATCTGAAATGAGTAGAGCCTAAGCCGTCCCTGTAATTCGCTCCACTTACCCCTTCTTGCTTGTAAGCTGTACTTACTCATACTTACCAATAATGCCATGAATAGAAATTAGCACCTTTTCACCTCGATGAAAGGTAGGCACGTGGAATTCTCAGAGGCACTTTTTCAGTGTGGGCAGAGGGAAAGGAGAGAAACGCGCAGGGCTGGAAACATTTAACAGGCACTACACGTGAAGGGAGACAAAATAAACAGAGGGAATCCAGCTGTAAACTGGACCAGACTCGCCACAAGTCCGTGGCCAGCATCAGTGGTGCAGAAGTAGTTCAGAACAGACAGCATTATCTACTGTTATCATACAGGTAACTAACTACAAGACCAAATAATTTGAAAATGTCATGGGCCTCACCACGCAAACCTCAACTGAAGGACAGTTTGAATATTAGTAGTTGAAAACTAGGAAGATCAGTAAATCCAGAGATTCCTCTTCCAGGTCTGTTGCATCTCAAAAAAATTTGAACCACATTCAGATGCTAAACACAGGATCACACATGTTTAGACAAGAACCAAGAACACTCGAATACAGCCTTTTTTTTTTTTCTTTTTTAAAGAAATATATATCACCAGCAAATCACTTGGGCCAGAACTGCAGATGGTTTACAGTAACAGCAGATTTTACACCTTTTAACTACAGATTCCACTAAGGGGTCCAATCCTGGTCCTGTAATTGCTTGTCTCTCCCAGACTTTGCAGCACAGAGATTACACCTGTGTGTCCCTACTGTTACTGTAAGTTTAGGAAGTACAGCAGTATCTGATGATCTCAGGAGTGAATGGGACAGGGTGCATTCCCCTCTCTACCCCCAGCAAGCCCCCTACATGTTGGGCATGAAATAAGCAGAGAAAACAAACACTGGAACTTCACTTTAAGTTTTTTCGAAAGAGCAGATCCAATTTCTTCAGTCAGTTCCACAAAGTGAATTAAAGAAGTATATCCTTAGTGTAGCAAAGCACATCTTAGTCAGCTATAAAAGCAAAATAAAGAATTGGATAAGCGTGTCCATTGTTCTTCAATATTTGTGCAATGTCCTTTGTTTGGCACTGTTCCTCGCACGGAGAGGCAGCACAGGTGCCTGGTTTGGGTGGGGCTCAGGAACTATCTTGTAAAGAGCTAATGTCGCCATCGTGTGGTAACCTTCAGAAACAAAACTTCTGTAGTTTTCTGCATCCCCGTAGACTTTAAAAAACCGGGAGAAACCAGCCCAGATGGCACAAATCTCATGGACTGAAATGAAGGCGCACTACCGACAGGATACAGAGCTGCAGAAGGTTTCAGAGAGGTGTCATGAGTTGGAGAAAGGAGCACCAGATGCTGCACACGTGGAACACGCTGCCAGAAAGACAGCACAGGTACCAAAGATGGGTATATTGCATTATGTCCCTTCTCCACTTCCCTCCAAATTGTAAAAAAACTTATGGTGCTTTCACAGAAACAGCCGATGGCAGGCATGGTGCTACAGAACTAGGTTTTCTCCTAAGGCACATTGACATGCTTCTTACCCTAACAGTGCCTTAATGTCCTTCTCCCCCAGCACATGCCTTCCTATGGCACGGCGCTAGGGCTGACACAGGCAGACAGGCAGGCAGCCCTCCCTCCAGGCACATTATAAGGTTCCTGTTAAGGTAAATGCCAGCTGCAAGGCAGCTGGGAAGGGTACAGCATGCTTCCCATCATTGAAGCATTTCCAATACTCAGTAGCTGCCGAGTAGTATTGGTGCGAATAGGAACACTGGATCACTTGCTGCAGTCACAGCCAAAGTTATTCCTTGGAAGGAAGTACCTTTAAAAACAAGGAAATGTTGAAAAAGAATTTGGGAGCTCATTACGACTGAAGGCACATCTATTTTCTCTATAGGCACTTTTACCAATTTTTCACCAGTCTTATGTAACAGCTTACCAGTGGCACATAAAAATCCTGAAAGAACCTTAAGGAAAAACTCTTTCACCTTAAAGGACCTCGAGGTTGATATACCTTTCAAGTCACTTTCACATTAAAGAGTTGCAGAGTAGGCGGATTTAATCACTTAAAAATCCAATTTAAAATCAAGATCTCCAGATGCTTGAACATGGGTTTTAATCCCAGCTTGCATAATTTCTGATTTTTTTTCCGCAGTTGTTACATCCATTCCTATAAACCACGTGCCTGAACTCAATTTCCAAAGCCATATAAATAGCTCAAGACAACACTGTACAGTTTTAAGTGTTCGAGCATACCTAATTCTCAAAAATTTAAGTGTTTGAGATGCCCAATTCTGGCTAAAATAAGCAACACTAGCCATGTAACTACTTAAAAGCACATACTTATCAGTGTATTTAACAATACATTTAAAGGTCTTACAACCTTCTTTTTTTTTTTTTCAAATATATATTCTCCCCCCCCATTTTATATTTGACTGTAAAAATAATTTGCTTTTCAATTTTAACAGATCTCAGACTTCCACAATTTTTTCATTCAATGTGAAGAAAATATATCCCGTCAACAAACTGCATAGGAGAAAACACAGGAAAATATGGATGCTGAAGTTCAGAGATACGTAAACGTTATTTTATAATGCAAAGACTAAATCAGGCACTTCAGTGTTTCAGATGGATTGAGTAATAATTTTTAGGTCATGTCCCTTTTTACTTAAAGGTTTTGATTAAAGAGCAGGAATTATATGCTGTATTGTTTAAGGAACTGTAATTAGGCTCAGGTCATGACATAAACTCTTTCAACTTTAAACATTCTGAAAAGCAAGCATGCTTAAACAGAAGTCACCAATTTCCACCTTGTTGACATGTCCCTCGTTATTGTAACTATACTTACAGGACAACTGGGTTATTAGATGCTTCTTTTAGAAAATATGGATTAATTTAAAGTGTTTGAAGAGCAACTTGTCAGTCTTTCAAACACCAACATACTTACAGTCTAACCAGAACACATACTTTCAGGTTATGCCTTAATTTATACAGAAAAATTAGTGTAACCGATTATTTTCTCATCTTTCACACCCAAGAGTCGGTAAGTAATTCTGTTCATTCCCAACCATTTCAAGAGCAGACTGCTCTAAAATGTCAGGATCCGACCTACTTCAAATAACTGGGTATGCAAATATTTCAACTGGCATTGGGTATAGAGTACTGCACGGTCTGTATGGTCACCTTCACAGAAAGTGACAAAAAACACACCTGCGTGTTCCAGGGAAACATTAGAACCCAACACCTGGACATTAACAAATGAGACAGACAACAATTCTTGGTCAGAAGCAATAGTGAACTTATGATTACAGTTCAAATCAGATGTTTAACCATTTGTTAAAGAAACAGAACAGGGACACAAAAGTCATACATAAGTAGAAGTTCACTTTATTTCTGCGCCTTCTGTGCCTTCTGCACCTTCGCTGACTTCGGTGCCTTCTCTGCCTTCTCTGGCTTCTCTGATTTCTCTGGCTTCTTGCCTTTTTTAGAAGCCATCCTCTGGAGCTTCTTCATTTCATGCTTGATGATCCTGTTCCTCTGTAAAAAAGGAAAATGTTTACTATTCATCAGAATGAAAACAGCAACAGCTCATAAATATTACAAAATAATATTTATGAAATATTATGAAATATTGCATAAATATTTATGAGATATTATGAATTTCAACTCTAAGCTTTCAGATTCTGCCCTTTTTGATAATCACCCTTTGCTAACCCATTATATTTATATTATATAGTCAAAAGATTTACCATCTATTTAAAAGTCTTCTGTTCTAGGAAGTGGACAACATCATTCTGGCTGGTAACTTCAGCACCCCAATATTTTGTGTGCAATGACTTTTATTACATAATGAAATACTAATAGCAACCCATCAAGAACATCTGATTTCATCAGCAGGTAATTCCTTCCTCAGCTCTAACTTAGAGGACTGACACACACATCACATGGTTCAAGTTTGATCAACTACTGAAGAGAAAGTGATGGCCAAAGAAAAATGAAAAATTCAAGGCATTCGTGTACTTTGTATCACTCTATAACCTAATCCAGCTATAAAAGTAACACCACTAACATCTGCATGTGACTCTAAAGTGAAAGCCACAAGCATTAACCCCCAAAAGAAGTGACACTCAAACACTTACCATTTTCTTTGCTTTCATAACCTTGTAGCGATCAAAGTCAGTCATTTTGGCTTTCTGTTTGAAAAGAATCAGTCATGAAGCTCTGATACATACATACATACGCCAAACAGTAAAACTCAGTGTTTCAAAGCATTCCATAAGTAACTCTGATCATCTCCAAATTAGGCTTCGCTGCACATCTGGAACTAGTTCACTATTTAAGGCCTTTGGTGGGAAGTGATGGTGCACAAAATAGGTGGTTATAGAAATGACTGAACAAAACCACCTTTACTGTTGAAATACAAGAAGGTGCAGCTGATAGGTAGCAAATTTTAAAAATCTATGCCTTGTCTGTGTTTAATCTTAGCCTGCAATTGAAAATATATAGTTTATTAGATTTCACCTAATTTTAATAAGCAGAAGCAGTACAACATGCATTACTCATCCACCAGAAAACTGTACCTTTTCTCGGGCTTCGATCTTCTTTGCCCATCTTGTTGCTGCCCATTTTTCATTTATATTTTCCTTTTCCCAGGCAAGTCGCACACACTTCTGACGGGCACTGCATCAGAACAGTCACAGTCTTTATAAGGAAAGGTTCTCTCTGATGCTGGCCCACCAAATTTCATAAAGGGAAGACCACCCTTACACGTTACTTCAGACACTTTAAGTCAATGCTGCACACATCTCTGCAGCCTAATTAACATTTTATTGTTCAAATGCCTTGCTAGGACTGAACAGAGGAGCGACTCCAAGAAGCACACTCATCCACTATTCCTAGCACTGCTTCAGAATCAGAAGGTCAGCAATTTTTGTTTCTAAATTACAGAAACTCATATAGTAACTAAGCTAAAGAGAACAGAATGAGTTCAGCCTCCCGCAATTTCACTGTAGTTCTATAGGCAGGGAACGTATTTAATGTCTGAAGGAGACCTAAGCAGTAGTAAAAACAGAACTGCATAGTATTTACTGCAACTGTTTCCCTGCACATTATTGACCTCACCACGAACTGCAAGTTGTCTGGGCTAGCTTACCATTTCCTTTGCAACTGAACAGCGGTTATAAGCCAATACTGATAACAAAAACTTGGACGTATTCAATTGTGATAACAAGGTCTGCCAAATTTTTATCACGCATACGTGTTAATTCATTGATTTAATGTTGCATGAACTTTCTGGATTTAGCAAGCATCAGATCACACAATTCAGGCATCAGATGACAAAATGACAGCATGATTTTTTACACAGGCAAAAAAAAAAAGTGAACAATCACCTGTGTGGGAACTTGAGAACAAAGTCAGTCAGCTGCATGCACTTGAAGGGCATAGCCTGCCTTCTGACACCACTGCAGGGGCCATCAACTAGTGCCTGAAAAAGGAAAACAAACATGGGGGTTTTGTAGCAGTTTTCCCATCACACTTTAGATAGAAGCTTCCTAATAATGCATGAACAGTATCTCGACAACAATGGTCCAAGACTGAAATAAGTGTTACGCAGACAAAAGCCAAGATTGACAAGTGCGTACACAACCCAAGCTTTACAGAAAGAATTTTAAAGGTCCATCTATGTCTTTCAAAAAGAAAAACAATCAGAACTTTAAATCCACACAGAACTAAGACGACATGCTTTATCTTTTTTTTTTTCCCCTAGCTTTTTCAGGAACATTAAGTGAAAAAGAGTCCCCTAGCCCAAACATTTTCTTTAAACATACATTAATGCCATTCCATTCATAAGTTTTAGACTTCAACATCACTTGTCCACTTCTACTGCTAGGAAACATAGCAGAGAGGGGAACACACCACTTGCCAGTAAAAAAAAGCTTGCTACTGAAAATTTCAAATACACCACCTGTTAAAAACCACTTTTTTTGGCCAATTACTTAGATCCATTCACAGTAAATTTCCTTAAAGTCGATACACTTAGTGCACAAGCTTCTGTGAAGATGGGAAGAAAACAAAGGTACAGTGCTCATAGCTTACCCTGTTTTGGTCAATAACATCCACGATGGCCACCAGCTTGCCAGCATGGGGCCCGAAGGAAATGAAGGCAACCCTGCCAATCTCGACGAAGCGTTTGAACACCTGAGAGCAGCAAGAATTGACAGAAACTAAGCGGTAATACAACCCAGGCCATTGCTAGGTTCAAGGCTTTCACTGCCTTTGTAGCCGGTTCCCAAGTTTCGAACTGCACTAAATCCCTTCGGTTTCAGCAAAGGGCCCACGGTGAGGCCCACCACTTCTTCCCAGCCCTGGCCCCGCGTGGAGACCGCAAGCGGGGGGAGAGGAGAAGCGCTGAGCCCCGCCGGGCCGCAAAGAGCCAGGAGCGGCCGCGCCGGCTCCGGCCCTGCTACACGCTGTCCCTCCCTAACCGGCCGCACGCGGGGCCCGCTCCCAGCCCAGCAGGCCTTAAATCTGAGGCTCTAAAATCATCAGAGAACTTCCACTTTTGGTGTCTGTGTGAGATAATGGCTTCAGTCACTTGAAACTGAGCACAGTTTGATGGCAAGGAAAGGAATGAGCGGAAGGTAAAGTGAGCCTTCTTGCATGAAAGCACTAATATGCTCCAGAAGTCATGGTGGAGACTTTTAAATCTCCAGTTCACTCCCAAATGACTTGATTTGAATAGTCTGTCCAAACCCATTTGACATTCCTTTCAAGTCCTTCAGGGCATTCAGATTCCACGAGCATTTGTTGTGATACCCGGTGGCGGCGAGGGAAGACGCTGAGGGGGAGGTGGCGTTCCCCCAGGGCGGCTCAGCTCGCTCGAACCAGCAAGCTGCAATTCCTCCCCGAGCTTGGGGATGGGGGGGGAGGACAGCCTCAGCGCTTCGAGCCGGCGCTGCGGACCGCGGGCAAGGGAGCGGTTTTTGGTTCCAGCCGCCGTGAGAGGGTGTCGTGGTGTCAGGGGTATACGGGAGAGGAGCGCAGTGCTGGAGGCCGTGTCCGCGCTGAGGGAAGGATGGTCGTGTGTGAGCTCAGGGGAAAGCTGGCAGAGCGCAACCAACACGCTCTGAGGCATTTTGTTAAAATTGCCCTTCTCCTCGAAAGGCAGAAGGTTTTAATGAGGGGGTGAGTAAAAAAACACCACAGGGTTGCTCATGTCACGGTGCAGAACTGGCCCTGACTTGCAAGAGCAGCTTGGCGATAGGCAAGGCAGTGCTCTGGGTACCAAAAAGGGCTTGGGAAGGAGATAGGAGAAGTACACGTTCAGAACAAGCTTCTGGAGAGGGTAAAATAGGCGTTATAATTCAGCCCAGTAGGTGATGCCACCTGATGGTGGAAAGTTCATGGTTTGAAAACAAGCAGAATCGTAGAATGGTTTAGGTTGGAAGGGACCTTAAACATCACTTAGTTCCAACTCCCCGCCCTGGGCAGGGACACCTCCCACCAGACCAGGTTGCTCAAAGCCCCATCCAACCTGGCCTTGAACACCTCCTGGGATGGGGCATCCACAGGTTCTCTGGGCAACCTGTTCCAGTGCCTCACCACCCTCAGTAAATAATTTCTTCCTAATATCTCATCTACAGAAGAGCAACATTAATTGACTCTGCGGTGGTACAGAGGGGCAGGTAGCAGCGCTGCATACGCAGTAGTCGAGTGCGTGGCCTGTGCTGTTCGTGGCACATCACATCCTGCTGCTCCTGGCAGGCGGTGTTGTGGCAGCACTGTCGTCACCAAGGCATAGGCATGCCACCAGATGACTGTGTTCATTCTGTTCTTGCGCTGTGTTCTCTCCCAGCTCGAGGTGAGCGCAGGGCAGCTCTGATTTCGTTGCTCAGTACCTGTTGCCACACGAATGGCAGTTCCTAGAGAGCAAAGGCACAGCGCGAGCTCTCTGCAGTGCACACAAGGATGGACCTTTCCAGCCTGGAGCAGAGCGGCAGAGACGGTGTGGGCTGGCTTTGATGGACATGCGTCGAGATACTGACGTGCGTGCGGGTCACATTTTGCAGGATTTTCACTCGCATGAACGTCAGCTGAAACGTGGTATGAGAAAAGGAGCTTTGAGAGTAACTCAAGTGTAAGTAAAATGTCCTGCAGAGCACTGCTGGGAAATAGGTCTGACCTTCATCAGTGGAGCAAAACATCCCAATTTAGCTGTCTAAAGCATGGTGTTTATTGTTTGTTCAGTTTTGCTTTTATAATCAAAAGCTGCAAGTAAAAAACATACTTAAGCCGTTTTAAGTGGTGTAGATGTTTTATGCAAGTTCCCAGGGAATGGATCATTAAAACGTTAATGAGCACTTAACTTCATCAGGTTTTTTGGAAGTCCCATCCAGAATACTGTTACAGCAATATTATTTTACTGTGCTTTACAATAGTCACATATTAATACATATATTAAACCAGTTATTTTTAAAAAACATGTTCTAGGTCAAGTCAGTAGAAGGCAATGGCTTTTGGATTCTTCCTATTTTTTTTTCATTTTCTTCATTTGATCTAACGTTGCTTTCTAGTACTACTTAAGAGGAAGGAAAGGTTACCTAAAATCTTGGCCTTTTTAAGGACCTTTGCATGTTTTGTGGCAGAGATACTCAAATGTCAGTAGCAACTGCACTGATAACTCGCTGAGGATGTGAGGGTTGCATCTGTTCTACGCAACTGTAACTTGCATGCATGCATTTCTGCATCTGTTAAGGTCATAAACAACTGAAAGAGGCATCATAAAAGACACCAAACTTGGGCAGTGCCTTAACATCAAACACTGAAAACAATTCAGGACTTAAAGCTGAAAAACATTTTCTCCCATGAATGCACTTTTAGAAACATACACTAGGCCTGCACAAATGTTGCTGAGCAACTAACTGGATACCACCTTCCTCTTCCTACACAGGAAACACTCATAAGTATAGGTGAGCACTTGTTGTGATACACTGTCTTCATTGCCATCCATTGTTCCTGAAATAATAATTGAATTTAAAAATTGAATAAAAACTCTCCAAATTGGAATATGATTGATGACCATCCTCAGCGTTGTTTACTTTTCTGTGATCTTACAAATGCTGAATTATGCTGTGCACTACAAGTTAACTGCGTTCTTCTGCTGAGTTTGTGTATTGCTTTATGAGAAGTTTGTCACTTTCCCCTCCCTTCATAAACGTCCATATGCATTTCATTTCTCTTTCTTCAGGTGGATGAATTTCTTGCTGCTTCTCCACAGATGAGGTTTTTCATATTACATAATCCTGTTCCTATTCCCAGTGCTCGACAGTTCTTTTTCTAACCAGTGTGTATCTTGATCGACTGTGATAACTGGGACTTGCTGCTTCTCTTTGGGACATAAGCTTTCAGGTCAACGTTATGGTGACAAACCTGAAAGTAGCACTAGAAAATGTTGGTGTCCCCAAGGGAATTGTTAATAGTGTTTAAAGGTAGAAGTTGTTTACATGTGTTTATGTGTGCTGTGTATATAGAAAAAATAAATAAATCTGAGGACTGGGTTGGTTCTAACCACCAGGGTTTCCTTGCTGAGAATATGGATTCTGGAGATAATGAGCACTATCCACTCCAGAATCTCGCAGGATCAGTTTCACAGAGTGCAAATTCGCATCCTGCAGGAAAGCATTTCAGAGACTTCCTATCCCTCCGATAAGAATAACTTGTCTACCAGGATGAAAATATTGGTATTGGGGGGAAAAAAAATAATAATAACCAGTACATTTGGCCTAGCTTTTCACAAATTAATTTTATTCATCTTCACAAGCAGACAGTAAAAAGTACAAAAAGATAAATAACCTATAGCTTGTACTCATTCCCAAATTCTATTGACCTCACTGGCTCTCCCAGAGACCAGTTCTAGATGACAAGACAACATTACACCAGTGGATCTGGATCTGGTTCACGCTCGGGGCAGGATTTAGCTCGGGTGACCGAAGCAATCACCATCCCCACTGCCTCACCTCCCCTCCAGAAGCAACCTCTGCAGCCAAGGGTAGCCAAGCTGCTGCCTGTCCGAGCCATGTTTTTTTTTACCGTAACACTGAACTGCAGCCATGGTGCTGACCTGGAAGAAGCTGTAAGCTACGGCGATGCAGCTGCCCTGCTGGAAGCTCAGTACTTCTGGCTTTCCCAGCTGAAACTGACAGGAGATATAAGACCTGAGCAGGTCGGTATCCTGGTGATACAGGAGGGAGCTTATACACCTAGGGAGAAGAGGGAACTACTAACAAAGGAAAACAGAAAGTGATTCATGGAGGGAGGGCATTCTTTGACCAGATACTGGCTCTGTCCAAGTATACCTGGAAGTCATAACAATTTTTGAACAAATTTACTCATTCTTTAGCTGCTAACTCTAAGGAGACTAACTTCCAAGTGTGTTCCATTTGTGCAAAACCACGTCTGAATGGCCCTGCCGTTCACAAAGCAAAGCAAAGATTTTGTAGGCAAGTAATATTCCAGAATTCCATTTTCCACAGAAATTTGGCAACTGAAGAAAACATTTTAATGCTGTCATCCAACTGCTGGTTTTTTGGTTTTGGGGGTTTTTTGGTGTGTTGTTTTTTGGTTGTTTTTTTTTTTTTACCCTTAACTGCAGTTCCAGGTCCATCACACAAAAGATAAAGCTTTTATCTCATGCCGACCTCTGTAATGTCCATGCATCCTGAAGTAAATATTATATTTTATCAGCTGTAACTTGGGTGCCACAGAGCACTTCATCATATTGCAAAAGCTTCTGCCTTATTTTAAGTACTGCTACTCCAGTAAGACTGACAGGCCATAGTATACTAACAGAGAAGGGACAAAGCCCTCACTGCTGATCCTAAAATAACTAACTTTTTTTATCTTTTTTTTTTTTCATTTAAAAACATGTTTAGTTCCTTTCAAATCATCTATCAGCCTGAGAAAAACAAAACAAAACCCTAACCCCACAACCAAACCTGAAAGTAAGAAGGTGATACAGAAACAAAAGACATAAATCGAAAATATTCATGGGTAAAAATACTGGTCATGGTTTTCCTACCTCACAACCTGATCAATACAGGGAATAGATGAAGTTGGGATAGAAAACACATTATGTGCCATTGGAATTCATAACCCAATGTTAACTTTTGAGCATATGCATCAACAAGTACATCTCTTACATGCAAGACACCCATGTGGAAACCACTATTCAGGTGGCCTAACAGGTTTCAGCTTGTTAGCAACAGATGTTGAATATGGTCATCTCCTTTTTAGTTTTCACTTTCTCACACTGAAAAACCCTGTGCATGAGATGAGTAACCATTCCTTCAGAGAGGAAAGATGCAAGCAAGGGTAACTACACACAGAGGGAAGCAATCCTGAAGAGATGGAGAGGGAGGAATGTATTAAAGTGATTGGCAGCAGCTATCTGTAGGACATTTGGGGAAATAACAGAGCATCATGTAGGTACTGAAATTTAGGAGGAATTAACAGAAATAGTGTACGAAAGGAAGAGATGGCAGATGATGTGGTAGGAAGCTTTTTCAAGGGTTATGTCAGAAGGCAGCTGAAGAAGACCAAAGCTATACAAACGACAGGCCTGTAAAAGGGGCACTGACCACGAATAACTCCTCAAGCACTGGGTAAAATTGTAGTCTTATAATGTAAGGAAATTAGTTGTTTGGTGAAGAATGCCTGGGCTTTCAAGGAAGTCAGCTCTTTGAAGCATGAAGGCAGCAGCACTTGCAGGAAAGCTCTGGAGTTAATGCATTTGACAGAAGCATCTGCTAGGTAGATCCCAGTGCTGCTGAAGGAACGTTGAGGCCAGGACAGCAGAAAGGCTGAAAAAGGTGCTACTGCCATGATTGCAGCTCCAGCAGTATGTTCCCAAACCCACAACAGAAAGGGTGTTCTGCCGGCCTGCAGACTGACTCCTATTCCTTTTGGCCTTGAATGAAGGCCTTACCATGTTAATGCTTCAGAGGATCCCAGGTCTGTGACTCTGTCCAGACAGTTGAAATAATACATACATGACAAGGCAATACTGACTGTGACTGTCCAAGACCAACAAAATGTGGGGAATACAGGTCAGTGTTTCAGTATGAGAACCTACAAAAA